CGGCGACCCCTCCGTGCCTCCTCCTCCTCCTTCCTTCATCCATCCAGCCTTCCTCCGAGCCGCCGGGGGACAGCCCAGGTGATCCGCCGCTGGGGGTGCGTGGGGGATGTCTGTCTATCTGTTTGTGTGTGTGTGTGTGTGTGTGTGTGGTGTCCGCGTCGAGTTTGCAAGTTCTCAGAGGACATCGCCCTGCTCTCCCCACAGCCCGGGCGGGGTTCCCTCACTGGGGGTCGGTGAAAAATATTCCGCCTCCCCTCGTCCTTGCCCATGCTGTCCGCTCCCTCCGTGACCGATACAACCCCGCGTTGGAACCGCGGCTGCAGGATCGCGGGGTTTAGCGGCCCCCACCCCAAACTGCGGCGCTTAGAGGGGGCTCTGGCCGCTCTATGGGCTGCCTCCCGTGCCCCTGCCTCCTTCCCTGTGCAGGTTGCCCTAAGGACCACTCAGCCTCCGCGCATCGGTCCCTTGGAGGATAATCTCGGGCAGTTTTAAATATCCTTCCCCCGCCCCCGTTTTTGTTTTTATTTTCTATTGTCCCATTTATGTAACAAGTGCCCGCCCGCACATCAGGCTGGTGTTGCTGTCTAGGGCGTTGCATGCTCCGGGGGGGTGATGTATCCGGTGCTGTGGCTGAACATTAAAAATAATGTCTTTCTGTTGAAGAAGACAGGGGTTAAAATGAATGAAGATCTGAAGGTTAATTTGAGCTGGCTGCCTCAGGATCATGTAGAAGCCAGCTCTACAGAGAATGCCTCAGCTGCAGGCTCCTCCCTGGTTCCTGCCGTAGACCCTGAGCCAGAGCTTTTGGTAAACCCCTGGGACATTGTCTTGTGTACTTCAGGGACCCTTATCTCCTGCGAAAATGCCATTGTGGTTCTGATCATTTTCCATAATCCCAGTCTTCGCGCCCCCATGTTCCTACTGATAGGCAGCCTGGCCCTGGCAGATCTCTTAGCAGGCATTGGATTGATCATCAATTTTGTTTTTGCCTACCTTCTGCAGTCAGAAGCTACGAAACTGGTTACGATTGGACTGATTGTTGCCTCTTTCTCAGCATCTGTTGGCAGCTTGCTGGCTATCACTGTTGATCGTTACCTCTCCCTGTATTATGCTCTGACTTACAATTCAGAGAGGACTGTCACTTTTATATTGCTCTGGGGAGCATCTATCTGTATTGGACTGCTGCCTGTAATGGGCTGGAACTGCCTCAGAGATGAATCCACCTGCAGTGTTATCAGACCACTCACTAAAAATAATGCAGCTGTCCTTTCGGTCTCTTTCTTGCTTATGTTTGCCCTCATGCTGCAGCTCTACATCCAGATCTGTAAAATCGTGATGCGCCATGCCCATCAGATTGCCTTGCAACACCATTTCCTGGCCACTTCCCACTATGTGACCACCCGAAAAGGAGTGTCTACTTTGGCCATTATTTTGGGGACTTTTGCTGCTTGCTGGATGCCTTTTACGCTCTATTCCTTAATAGCAGATTACACCTACCCTTCTATATACACCTATGCCACCCTCCTGCCAGCTACCTACAATTCCATCATCAACCCTGTCATATATGCTTTTAGAAACCAGGAGATACAGAAAGCACTTTGGCTCGTCTGTTGTGGCTGTATTCCTTCTAACCTGTCTCAGAGGGCAAGATCACCCAGTGATGTCTGATTGGCAGCCACGAGGATGCTCCTTAACATGTTACTTTCCAGACATTCTGTCTTTGGTTTAGATGCATTCTTTAAATGATGTGTGATGGGTTCACATAAAAACCGCAGGATGGACTGACCTTTTTGTAAAGAGAAAACCCCAGCGACCGAAATCAATCGGGTGGTTTAAGGAAGATTTCCAAAATCAAAATAATCAGTGTTCTTAACAGATTTATAATGTTGCTCAGGGTCTTTTTGTCATATTACCCAAACTTTGCCATGTTTGCCATGATTTTACGTTAAGTTTTCTAATTAAAATTAGATTGAAACAGCATACTTCTTTAAAATTGTTTATGTGATTGAGTTTAGTCATACTGCATGTTACAATCTGTTGTTAGGATATTTTTTTCCTCTTTAATTTTTTTTTAATGGAAAAAATACCCCAAACCCCATCTGTATATCCTCAGAATACTCTTCAAAATAATGGCCAATTGTACTGATTTATATGGAATTTATTGTGATAATCTCAGTGCAACAAATTTGCTCTGAGAAAGTTCTTGTTCAGCTTTTTATTTTACATCTCAGCATTTATTAATCTGTTTTCAAGGGTTACCTGTTCTCTCATGTTTTCTGGCTGGATGTTAAAGCAAGAGATATGTGTCGCTTTCCTTTTTAAAAGTCAGACATATGTTTTCACTTGCATGTGAGACATTGGAGCTATGATGTTGATTTTAAAACTGACGAGGGTATCTTTGAAATTGATGAAACAATATGGCCTCTCTTGGGGATGCATTTGTAATAGATTGAAGACTAAGTTTCTCAGACAAGTTTATCTTTTCAGAAGAGTATAAGAAATGTTTCATAAAACAACGGACAGATTGCTTGCAGCACATATTTAGCACTACGTGAAATGGTTCCCCCTACATTTGTTACCAAGTCAATACTATTGCCATTTATTTGTTTTCACTATTCTCTTAAGAAATTTTAAATACCGACATTTATAAATTCTCAAAGCATATCTGGTTCATAATTATATGCAATCAGAATTGCAAGACAAAACAGTGTTTTCTCCTTTTCTGGCAGTTTCATTCTTTGCACTAAACACATGTCAGTTCTTCATATACAGAACTTCATTGTAGTTCTGGTCTAGAAAGCAGAGCTTCCTCTCAAGAATGGTTAAATTTCAAATTGCTTCTAACCTTCCACTGAAGCCACATTAAAATGCACTAGAAATAAAGCATTGTTTTCTGATTTGAAGACTACTTGACTGTCAGAGAGAAAATCTTCCTGGCACTTGTCTTCATGAAACTTATGGTGTACTTTCATGTCAGCACGTGGGAGTTTAGAGTACTGCTTCCATTAGTGCTGATGGGAGCTCAATGTGTTCATGCCTGGCATCAGCAGGAGGTTATACGCCCTTGAATGTCAAAGTCAGCATATTGTATTGTTGCTTCAGTACCTTCCATTTAAAAAAAAAAATAATAAATCTAAAACTCAAGTGTAAAAATAGCAATATTTGCAGTTCAATGAAAAAATATACCTGTGTAGTAGAGATAGTAGAGACAACTGCGCTGCTGGTCTGGATTTTCCAAATGGAATCTGTCCTTTTCACGTGGACGTTTGGATGACTGTAGCTTTTTGTGGCAAAGTTTCTGTGACGTTAAGAATCATATGCTATACACAAAGCTGAATCTCAAATGTGAGTTGTCTGTAAACAAGGCTCTGTAGAGATTTTTATGAGCAATAATAATTTTAGTTGCAATGCTGGGTTTAAATTCCATTATTTATTTGGTTCAACCTTCATGATATTTGGTTCTTACTTCGTAATCTGATTAGTTTAATAATAATTGCATGGCATGACCCAGTAGAGCTGTGAAGTTGAAGCTCCCCTGGCTTCCCTGTGATTTACAGATGCTCAGCAAGTTAGACTATGACCTCTGCTCAGTGTAGGGTATTGGTGTTCTTTATCTATTTATGAATGATACTGAAACTCTAGTCATTGAATTTTCTTGCAAGTTTTTGTATGAGAAACACTCACTTCCTAAATATCCATGCTACATAAGTGTGCAGTTTTTCAAGTATGCGAACTATTGGGAAATAATGGCGGCAAAAGTAATGAGATGAATAATGTAGAGAGGCTGAATAATGTATGATGGCACTTTTAAAAGAAAAAATAAGTTAGAGTCATGCAAACTTTGTTCTCCCTGCTTTTTCCCTTATTTGTTCTTCTGTATCAAATTGCTAAAGGTATGATGAAGATGAGCAGCTACAACTGTGACCAGAATTCAGTCCTGAGGGCAACTGTTGTTTTCCTTATGCAGACGTGTTGTCATCCTCTTGGATAACCTCACAGGCATTAGTGTTTTTCTCTAGGCAGCACCTATGTGGTAGGGAAGCCAGAGAAAAATAGCACAGAGGGAGATAATGTCATCCCCTCTTCTCATGCTGTTTGACCTCGTGTCCTTGTCATCTTCCTCACTCCACAGGCTGCTCAATTCCGCAGAGGCTCTCCAGTGTGCTGTGGGAGCCGACCTCTTCCTTGTGCCAGAGCAGAGAGATTTGTAATTGGAAGCTTCTCTCCTGAGGAGCAGAGCAAGTCAAACAGAGGAAAGAAGGATTAATTATAGCAATCCCACAAAGCTAGCTCATAGGGATGTGATTTGCCCTTGTTTGAGGAGTTGTGCATGGTTACCTTCCACCACAAACAGATGAGAAACATGATTCTGCTCCAAAGATACTGCTGGGACCTCCAGTGAAGATTTTGCCTCTTCCAGAAATACGTTCCAAAACTGAGGCTGTGCAGCATAGGCCAGAAAATCTTACTGAAAGTCAATGGCATAGGTTTGCCTGCAGCTGTCAGGGCAAACTTTACCCTAGACTGCAGCACTGGGATGGATGCTACATAACACACCTCTGAATGAGCTCTGGGAAGTAGGGGCAGAGCTGTGCATGCAGAGCTGTCTACCTCACTCACACAGAAGAATTGCTTGACAGCCAGCCACCTTTCAGACCCTGCAGAATTACCCATCATGCTGTCCCCTCAGAGTGACAGTGGAGGCCTCTGTTCTATATGGTGATGTGCCAGTATCCATCCAAGGTCTCCTGAAACTGGCAGAAACCCATCAATTTGCAGTTTCTGATATTTTGTTGTCCCATCAAACAACTACAGTGCATAAGACTAGTGGGGTTAGATTCACCATTCTGTGTACATTGGAGCAGCTTTTGTATCTCCATTGTAATGACAAAAAGGTTTGTTTTTTTTTTCCTAATATGCAATTTAGTTTAAAGAATTGAAGTTCATGTTTATTTATTAGCACACTTGACCCAAAGTTAGTAACAGGTTGTATCCTGATGGGGAAAATTTATTGTGGTCAGTCTTTTTCATACGTTCATCCTCAAAGCTTAGGAGAGGATTTTAATTTTTTTTTTAACCGTTTCCCCCAATAGTAGTATTTCAGCAATAAGGAAAAATATGTTTTTGGCACAAGAGCAATAAAATCCTCCATGATGTGGATACTATAAACTGCTGAGTAAACTCAGAGCAATAGAGAGGAAGCAATATATACTTTAGACAAAAAAAAGTAACTTGAATAACAACTTTCAGTAAGTGTAGGTCTTCCTTTTTTAAGCACATCCTATCAGACCAATGTGAGGCATTATTTCTGGTTGATTTGTTTTATAATCATTGAATTCCTGAATAGAATTACACAGCAATAACATTTTACCTTAATTCTTGGATCCTGAATTTGTGCTATTTGCTGAAAGAATTATGTACTGCATTGGGGAGTTTTATTGTTTTCATTGTTTGGCATTTAGTTGTATAGCATTCTGTGGATGAATTAGTAGTGTTCAAGATTTCCAGTTCTAACTTAATCCCAAGAAAACCCGAATTTTTTGTGCTCATAGAGTGACTATGATAAATAGTTCTAGCCTGTTCTGAAGACAGCTTGATTATGATACCAGTGAAGAAAACCCCTACCAATACCCAGGCTCTTTGGAAGCAAGCTCAAAGGACTGATACTGCTTCTATATCTTCCTGCCGTGGACACTCAGCGTCCATCCTTTAGTGTTCAGGGACCAGCCTTGAGGCATCTTGGAGTCTCTAAAAGTCCTCCATGGACAGAAGTGAACTTTGGCATAGACCAGCACTCATGCTGTCCCCAAAGAGCTATTATTCTCTTGCTTCACTTTTTTAGGGATTTTTTAGCTTTTAAAAATAAAATACATGTTACTTCATTTATCCAAGGTGATAAGCAACCTGCTGTGTGACTGGAAGTTGGGATAAAATAGCATTGCTACAAATCAAGCCCCTGGAGCGTAACTACACACTCATTACTTGAAAAAAGAAAAATGAAAAAAAAAGTGATTCTGTTACATTCAGAACAATGCTTTCAAAATGTTGGCCCTGACTTTTATGAAGAAAAAGTATATAGGGTCTGGTTTTTCTATTTACAATAAATAAATAAAAATAAGAATTGGACAGAACAGTTGCTATTTAAAAACCCACCAGCTATCCTGTCACTTTATCTGAGATACTGAATGGTTCTAGATTGGCTTAGTGGTAGTCCAGAGATGTTCCATGGAGGAAAAATAAGATCTCTCAATCTTTGCTTATAGAGAACTAAAAGGAAGGAACTATAAGGAAGTGGTATAATTTATATCTCATGAATAAACAATAGGTCAGGAAAGATAAATTAGGCATGTGTATCTCCCTCATCTGTCAGTAGAACAATGATGGTACTCCCAATAAACTTGAAAGGTCTCCTGTCTGGAAATACTTTTTTGGTACAAGAGGAAATTACCCCTTAAAACAGGGTGCTGCTGTCTTCTTCAGATCAAGAATATGCAGTTGCTTTTAGTGGATCTGAAATCTGAATGAACTGCAAGGATATCTATTTTCATATTAAGTGGATGATGAAAGATGAGAGATAGAAGTCTTTATAGCTTGGTGAATCAGCCAGATTCAATCACTTGGGGCTTGAGCTTGGTCGGAAGGATACTTGAATAAATGCACCCCCTGTA